ATTCAAGACCAAGAAAAGCCTAGAAAGAGTAGAGTGGGGGTTGTGCTGATCCTGACATGTCCCAATCTTTTCAACCCAGCTTTCCTGGAATACTTTCCGGCACGACTCCAGCCAACAGAGTATCTGAGAAACTAGAATCCCTTGTTCCTCGGACTGGTAACCACGCTCGGTGCGGGCGGTCACTGAGTCAAGGGCGGTAGGCACACAAGACAGCGGCGGATCTGGAGCAGACCTGGAGCAGCAGCAGTGGGGAAGGAGCAGGACTCCGTGACAGAGCCAAGTTTCAAAATGATGGGACAGATCCCACCACAGACAGATGGCGCAAGCTCAAGATCATGCCTGAGGCAGCTGCTCCTCGCAGCAAGGTGCAGCCACCTTCCACGGTGAACAGCAGAAAACTCACGAAAGATGGTGACACACAGAGAAAATTCTCAACCTCCACAAAATGCCACTGCATAGCTTTATTTTAAAACAAAAGGAAGATGTACCTGGGTATTTAACAGCAAGGAAAGCTAAACTGCTCTGTGGGACCTCTGGAAGGAGTAAAAGCTAAACTTGTTGGTGAAAAATACCAGCTCCCAGGGGCCACTGAAGACTGTGAGCCTATAAGGCATTCAAATCGGGAAAGCGTGAGCCTGGGAGCAGGGAGATAAGGATAACGGGAGGAGCCACCTGCCATCACCCAGCAAAGGGAAAACCTTGCACAGAAGCCTCTTCTGAACACACCAGGCAAGCTTTCTGGAGTTATCGATTGTGACGATAACGGGGCTGCGGCTGCGTCAGCAAAGCATGCGGAACTTCCATTTTACACCTCGCTGTAATGAAGCATTATTATCATTAAGAGGGTCGTTATTACATGATAAGATGGATACTCTGGAAATGCAGCCCAAGATGACAAAGAACACAAGCCTGAATGACTTCATCACCGCACCAGTGCAGGTAATACCGATGACTGGTCTGGGCTCTCACAGAAAACTGCCCCGCCTTCGAAGGCCCATGGAGGAGCGAGAACAGTCACTGGTCATCTCGAACACCTTTTCTAGCCAGGCATGGTGGTTCACCCCTGTGGTCCCAGCACTCTGGAGGCTGAGGTAGAAGACCACCATGAGTTCAAGGCCAGCCAAAACTTCTTAAAAATCTTTTCTACCAGTATCTCCTTTCTTGGGCCTTAGTCATATTACTGTAGCCATAGTTACAGGACTTTACTTTTCCCCTCTGTCCTTATCTTTCTGTTTCCCTTGTGTTTATCTCCTAAAGAAACTCTCCAGCTTCTAACAAAGGACTTTTTTTGTTTGTTTTTTTGATACCAGGAATGGAACTCAGATCTTGTGCTTGCCAGGCAGGCACTTGTGCCACTGAGCTATAACCCCAGCCCACAAAGAACTTACTTTTTACATGGACAGACTATTTGGAAAAGCAAACTATGTGTTGGTCAGTGGACTAACCCTTAATGAAACAAAACCAAAAAAACTCAGATCGTAAGATTGTTATGCCTATGTTTTCTTATCAAGGAATCATCTGTGGTCTACAGGACTATATGTTGTTCTATTTCTTTGAACTTTTGGATCTACAGAGGTTTACTGAAATCCCAAGAACCCCAATATCATTGTTGCAATTAATTAATATAGTCAATTATATAAATCTAGTTCTCCGGGGCCAGGGATATAACTCAGCAGCACAACTGCCTGCCTGGCAAGTGCAAGGTCCTGAGTTCAATTCCCTATACCAAAAAAAAAAAAAAAACAGTTCTCCTGAGGGCATTCAGAATTTAATTTATATCCCATGTATTTCAGATATTGGTTTGCACACCCTTTTCCAAGAGCAAATAACTGTGTCTTTATCTAAGGTGCTGGGGGGTTCAAACAGTAAACACTTCAGCCTTTGAGGGCCATACAAATTGTCGTAACTATTCAATTCTGCCCTTGCAATGCAAAAAACAGCCATATGTAATATGTAAATGAACATGTAAAGCTGCACTCCAATAAAACTTTATTATAAAAACTCTGTTCTGCAATATATATCCAAAGGCTGAGTTTTGTCACCCATGCCTTTGATGGTCTTGGTATTTCAGCTCAAAAAACAACAACTACCTTAAAACATGCCACTGTTACTTTACCATTGTTACTACCCAAGTTGTTGACTAAGATTTTTTAGAAGAATCTAAGCAAATCAAGCTGTGAAAGAAGCAGCAGAATGAAAGAGGGGCCAAGCCACAAGCCCTGGGACACCAGACCCTTTCTTTCCTCACAAGGTACTAGATGCTCCTTCTGCCCCTCTAAGTCTGTGAACTTGAGAACCAGGATCTTTATCTACCTTTGTACACTGAAAAAGCTACCTTACCTACCCATACCCTCTCCAACAGCTCCCACCTCAATCACAAGTAGGCTGTTTTCCCAAGGAAAAAGCCATAAGTACAAATGATGAGGGAAATACAACTATAACATGATGCCTACATGATTCCATTCAAAATAATGCCATGAACCAAAGCAAAGTTCTCTGTACAATTTAAATACTGAACCAAAGATTTCAACAATATAAAGGTGCAATTGCTAAACAAAATATAGGCTTGTTCAATGATTTCCAACATCCCTGACAGTTATTGTTATCATCACACTCACTCTCCACCACCACCATTAACAAGCTCCTTTTCTTTTGTTCTCTACTGACACCAAGGGGATAAATCCAAGTTATTTTTCATGTATGTGACCTGAAGTGTCTTGTGTGTCGTTTGTTTAGTTTACCAGCAGTGGTTTACAACAATTCTCTCGTCTTCATGCTACAGAAGCACCAGCTCAAGAGCCACTAAATGTTCCCTCACAGAGTACAAAAATTCCATTAAAAAAAAAAAATTCAGTGCCTTATAGGTCCTTCAAAATGACAGATTCCCAATCTTAAAACGTGTAAGTTATGACAGTGCTTTAAAACTGCATGTTTACAAACCACTGGATTTTGTTCATTGGCTTTTAATACTAAAGTTACTCAAATCTGAAGTCTAAAGTCAGTGTTCCCTTGAAGCCATGCTAAAGAACACTGGTTTTCAAATGCAACCAATAAATGGGTAAGTATAGCCATCTCTGCAGACAATGATTACGCTATTTCATTATCAAATAAAAAGGGCTAGTGTAGAACATTTTTATGGCAACTATTCTGAAAATGACTCCAAATATGTAGCATCTCTTAATTATATATGAATTTTAAAAGAAATGAAAAGGTAACTGATCCAAAGAGGTGTTTTGATTTTTTTTTTTTAATTTATTTTGGAGCAATCAGACATGCAACTTCTCAGCCCAGGATCTGCGTGGTCCCTCAGCCTATTCTACCATGGAGAAGGTACACACAGATCTGCTCGCTTGGGGGCAACATGAGTTAACGAAGACCTAGTCTGACACATGCCACAGAATGAGCCTGACTATGTATAACTGCTTCTCCAAAACTGGTGTCAGGGATAAGAGTATGCAGCACCCCCTCTACTGGCCTCAGAATTTTGGAAAAGCAATTTAAGCTCTTTGGGATCCAGCAATATATACTCTTCCTCATCCATCCCACTAGAAATTCCACACAATTCACAATGACACAAGCAATATGCCATTTAATACACCGTACATTTTGAAACTGGGATCTAGACAAAGCCAGTGCTGATATAAACCAAAGTTGTCCTATTGAGGGCATAGCCTAAGAATACCAAACTCACACACGTTTTCAGTAAGCCAGCTGCCTTCAAAGTGCCCATGGCGCTTTACCACCAGTTGCTTCCTGCATGTCCTCCTTGCTGTGGCGGACCTCATACAGAAGGTCAAAAGGAAAGGGCTGTATAAATAAGTTATTTCTGCTTCGTGAGCTTTTAAGCAATTTTTACTTTCTTTAGGTTTTTCTATGTTTCCCAATTTTCCTGTATCAGTACAAGCTACTTTAACAATAAATTCTCATCAGAGGTTCCTTACTAATAAAAAACCAAAAAGATAAAAGAAATAACCTGTTCTTCTTTCAACTTTTTAAATATTTCAAACATATACATATTTAAATCACAATGTATCCAATTTCAACTATAAATAGTTGCCAATTTTCTAGCCCTCACTGTTTGTTCTCTAAAGAATTTTAAAATCAAATCCTAAACCTCATGCTATTTCACCTAATATATTTCAATATCCATCATTAATCAGTTACAAAAAAATTACATAGCCATGTCACCATTACATTTAATTCAACAGTAATTCCACAATGCTAATTCTCGGTCCATCCTCAAAATAAAATTTTAATAGCAATAATCAACAATTAGAAATCTACATTAAAAAAACTTGAAATTGTGCCACTACCTCATATCTATAACATACAAAGAAATATAAAACAATAAGAAAAGTATAACAAAGACATAAGTGAACAAGAGGCTTAAATAGGCACTTCACTGAAGAAGAAACCCAAACAGCCAATGAACCTAAGAAAAATACACCAGAATACAGTGTGAAAACCCAAGACACCACTATGCACACCCAGCAGAACAGCTAACATCAGAAGGCTGACTATGTCAAGTGTTAAAGAGGAAGGGGACCACGGGGAATTCGAGAGCATTGCTACAGGGAAGTGTACACTGGAAAAAGTTTTCTCCTAAAGCCAGCCATAGCTGGATGTGGTGACGCACACCTGTAATCAGGACCTCAGGGGGTGCAGCAGGGTGATCGCCACAGGTTCTAAGCCAGGATGGGCTACACAGTGAGTTCAAGCCAGCCTGAAGTACATAGGCAGAGCCTGTATGTATCAATCAATCAATCAATCAATCAATCAATTCACTCCAACTGGTATCAAAGCGAGCAAGACCCTATTTCAAAATAAAAAATACAAGCTGCAGAAATTCTAATGATGAATCTGTACTTCCTCCTGTACTTTAAGGCATTATGGATCATCTAAAAGCACAACAAATGACTATTTTTTAGCTACCTGAGATGGTAACAAAAACAGTATCCTCACATGATCCTTTACAAAATCTACTATAAATATAAATATACCTCATCATATATGCTCCCATTAATATCTGCACCGTAGATGGGTGCCACAAAAGTTAAATTCTTCCAGTACTTGCGCTCCAAATCTTCATAGTCCAAATATCTTGGGGTACAGTATCTACAAAAATAAAAAAAGAACACAAACCAAATGTATAAGACAACTGTAAAGTTCTTCCCAACATCTGATTTAATTCACTTTCTAAATAAAACTTTAGCTAAAGGAAAATATTACAGGCACCCATGCTGTCAGATCCAACAAATAAATACACAAATGTATTGATCATAGATATCTGAGTACTCTTAAGATTCCTAAGTAATTCTGCATGATCACTTTATATTTTCTATTAGTAAGAAAAATACTTTCATAAAAAGTGTCAATAATAAGAGCAGAAAATTAGTTTAAAAGTCATTGCTTTAGCTTGCAAAATATTTCTACAATCTTTAACCCATTATATAAGAAATGTTAGTTGGGTGTGATGGCTCATGCCTGTAACCCTAGCACTTGGGACGCTGAGTCAGGAGGATCACTGTAAGTTTTAGGCCAGCCTGGGCTACATAATGAGTTCAAGGCCAGCCTGAACTACACAGCAAGACTTTGTCAGAATTAATCAATCAATAAACAACTAATAACAATAATAATTTACAGATTTATACGTAAAAGATATAACACTTATAGAAATTTTGACAAAAGATAACCTCACTAAAAATCAAAATAACTAGCCAAGTGCAATGGCACACCCCTGTATTCAGGAGGCTGAAGCAGGAGGATCATGGTTTTGAGGCCTGGACTACATAGTGAGTTCAAGGCCAACCTGAACTGCATCACAATTCACTGTCTCAAAAAATAAAATTTTAAAATCAAAGAAAATAAAACTAGGCTAAGACACTACAATTATTAGATAAGCAATGTTTAACATAATAATGGAAGGGGAAAGACAAGATCTTTTACACAATCATACTCGTAGTATAAGCTGATACAACTGTTTCAAGAATTTTTCAGCACATATCAAAAGTCAAAAAATATATACTCTTAACTTTAAAATCTAGAGATCCATCCTGCCAACACAGAAATGTGTGCAATGGCTGATGACCCAGGAAAACACAAGCAAATATCCAGCAACTAATAATCAGCTTTAATAAATATAAAGCATAGGTGGGGCAGGGGAAGGGAATATAAAAAGAATTAGGAAGTGTTATGTCATGTACCAGCTCCCCATGAGGACTGTAATCATGATGTACTGCAAACCTGTACTAATAAAAATAAAAATAAATACATACAGGACATTTATGTAGTCCAGGAGATCACCCTGCCTCAGCCTCCCATATGGTGGGGTTACAGGCATGTACCACTACACTCAATTTAAGGTATATGTTTCTATGTCCTGACATCAAAATATTTCAAGTGAATAAAGCAGGTTATACAGATTACTATCCTATGATTCTGTAGATGTGAAAAATGATACCTCTAATTATACATTAAATGGCCAGAATATATACCAAATTAATATTAGTTATTTCTTACATACTAATGAAAGCACTTCTCTGTACTATTTGGATTTTAATAATAATCTTATCACAAAAATTGCTTCTTGATGAATAAGCAAAGACACAAACAGAAAATAATTAAAGAAAAGAGAAAAAAGTTGTTTAGCAGCAGCAGCCATCCCTGTGAAGTGTGCTGGACATTCAGTTATTTATACAATGACCAAGAGTACCACACAATTTCATTGGACAACTGCACTTGTGACACAGGGTGATTTTCTGACTTACCCAGAACACTAGAAACTTACTGCACAGCCAGAAAGTAAAGGGTGGGCATGAAAGCTCCCTTAGGGTGCCATCATCCCACACTTCTGCCAGCAGGTTCCCTAGTATCAGAGCCCGAGCACAAGCTAACAAAGCTAACCAGGGGCAGAGTCAGGTCACAAGGTAAGTGCACATCTCCACTCCCCAGAGCTGACTGTAGGAGAGCACACAGGAGAAGTGAAATAGATGCTTTTTATTAGGGCTTCTAGAGAAACTTCTTGGGTTTTCAAAATTCATAACTCAAAAACAGAGAGGTAAGTTTGGCACTGGTCTGTTGAGGTTAATTTATAAAATCCTTTAATATTTGAAATAACTGCTGAGTCTAAACTAAAAAGCGACCAGTTCACTTGGTTGGTACCTGATTCTGATGAATCCTGGCTGCAGGTTCTAACCCTAAGGGACCTGTCAAACAGCTACACTTGCTCCACACACCCTTTGTCAAAACTGCGTCTCACACACCTTCTTGCCCAGAACACTGAACTCACTGTCACAGGCCAAGCACCAGGCTGCTTTGGTCTACATCCAGATGTGACCCTCTAAAGATACCCAACCCTGGAGAGGGAGCTGCACTGCCCTGGAACTCAGTTATGCCTCTAAAAACAGCTGAGCTGTTGACAGAGATCCATCAGATACTTATGTGAAGCACACATCTTTGTGCCTAGAAGGAATATAGATCAGTAAGAGAGACAACACAAAGGAATACATTTCTCAGTTCCGCAAGTTTTTAGATTACAGCTAGGTATATTGACAGTCTCTAGTTTTCTTTGGATCAAGTTGTTCAATCCCCTACATGAGAATACTCTCCCAAGCACACTGTGTAGCTTCTGTGTACCTACACAAAGGCATGCACTACGGAAACAGAGACAATGAAACCCCAGGACACTCAGCCCCACTCAGGACATTTCACAGGGCTGTGTAGACTAGATCATCCCATCCCACTGCAACTCTGCCGACAAGCAAGGGCCTCCGCTTGTACTTAGAAACCTATTTCACTAGGATTTGAAATAAATTTCCAAATAAAAGTGGCAGAATATAAAAATATAAGCTTCAGAGGCATTTTTAACATATAATAAAATTAATCCAAAAACGGTAAGTGGACTTCAAAGAAATAAAATTTAACACAGAAATAATCTTTCAGACAGTTCAGCATAACGGCTAAATGTCATGACTAAAACGAACATTTAAAAATCAATCATAACTCCAGAATATCAAGAATGTGCCAGGAGTGGCGGCACATGCCTATAATCCCAGCACTCTGGAGGCTATGGCAGGAGGATCACCATGAGTTTGAGGCCAACCTAAATCACACACCAAGACCCTGTCACATACACACAAAAAAAAAAGAGTACGAAGAAATGTACACGCTTGCAGCCAGGTTTGGTGCCACACATCTGTAATCCCAGCACCCTGGGTGAATGAGGCAGAAGGATGGGCAAGTTCAAGCCCAGCCTGGGCAACCTTAGCAACTTAGTGAGATCTTATCTCTAAATGAAATATAATAATAAAAAGGGCTGAGGTGTAGCTTAATGTAAAGCCCTAGGATCAATTCCTATCCCCCCAAAAATAAAAAATGTACATGAAAAAAGAAGGTACATTCTGTCAATAAATAAATTTTTATAATCTACTAATAATTCATACCACTTGAATTACATTTTAGTTTATATGACACTATTTATCTAATTGACATTATTGTAAAAACACCTATCATAACCCACATATTGTGGGCACTGAATAGTACGCATGCAAAGAATAGACAACGCCATCTGCAAGGCTATCTTCGGGAAGAGTCAATGTGCAATCAAGCCACCCAGGGAAAAACTGAACAAAGCTGTGAATAAAATTAGTTCCTAGTAACATAAATTCCCTCATAATAGAAAAGAGTCCATAGCAGTATGATCAAATGGGCTAGTAGCAATTACCAAAGTTTCTCTATGACAAGAAAATATAGGACTTCAAGGTTTAATTCTTAGTATTTGAAATCATCATGTATCAATAACTAGGACTGTCCCTATGAATTAAATATTCATATATATAATTTATATTTAATATATTTAACATATTTCTATAATTTTTAAATAAACGTGTTACTTTTGTAACTGGTAAAATTTATTCTGACCATCCTTCAAAAGTCCATTTGGACAGCACCTACAAAGAGAAGTTTCTCCGCTCCTAACAACCACTGCAGCCTCATCTTCCTTCAAAACCACATTTCGTACCTTTCCTGTGCTACTTCTGGTTATCAAGAGTATTAACGAATGTTTTTAGTAAATATAATCTGATTACTCTGCAGTGCAAATTACCCTTGGAAACATCATGGTAACCAAGCAGAAGTCCCACTCAGTGAACTAATTAACACTTCAAGAGCAACACTGGAAATGGGCACTCTGAGATGGACAGAGAGCACAGTAAATGGTTTGCACCAGATGCAGTACAGGTAAAACTTCCTCTGCATTCCTGCCTCAATAACATTGCACCTCCAAGGACTTAGACCTGCTAGGCAAGCTCTCCACCGTGGAACTACATTCCCAGCCCACACGTTTCATATTCTGATAAGATCTGAAAGAATAGGAGACTACCAATGCCTTCCAAAAAAATTCAAGGAGTTTGAAATTAAATATAAAATCTGTAATTCTTTTGGAATAGCCAGAATACTCCACAGTTGGAATTTAACACAAAAAGGTAAGATTCTTCAAGTTCTGTCCCACTGTGTGCTTACCAAACTACGTCAAATATACTATTGTTTTTAAGGTTTTGTGGCTATACAAGGTGTGTTGTAATCCTAGCCCTTGGGAGCCTGAGGCACAAGGATCATGAGTTTGAGGCCACGGCTGTTACTCAGCAAGTTCAAAGCCAGCCTGTACTACACAACTGTAGTACAACTGTTTAGGTCCTGCCTAAACACCTCCCTCCTACAAAAAAGACAGCAGCTACATCCATCCAAAGACTTCATGTCATTCATGCCCATCTGGAGAATATGGGCAACTATATTTTGTTTGATCACCTGGGTTTGGTTTGATTTAGGTCAGACTAATGTCTTCATCAGAGACTTTACCATATCGAAAGTAATGATTTCTTATTGTTTTCTTTTTATCATATATTTGTCTTAGTACATGTTAAGTACATAATGATTACATTTATCATGGGGCATCTACATGTACATAACACATTTCAATTCTTTTTTGTCCCCTCAATTCCTCCCTGCTCCCTCCAACTCTTGATCCCCTTCCTGTCTGAAAAAGCTCTATTTCTTTTTTTTCTTCAATTCTATATTTTTAATTCTTTTTCCCTTCTTCCCTCCCCCAACTCCATCTCTTTCTTACCTTCTCATTTGAAAAAGATCTCCCAATTTCCTATTATCTATCCTTTATTGTGCTCTTTATTTGTAGTGTGAGTTTCTCATAGAAGAGAAACCATGAAATATTTAAATTTGTACGTCTGATTTATTTACTTAATATCATGGTCTCAAGGTGGATCCATTTACCCACAAATGCCTCAAGTTTATCCTTCTTTATGGCACAGTAGTACTCCATTATGAATAAATACTATATTTTCTTTCATCTGTTGATGGGACATATATATAAACTGTTTCCAAGATTTAGCTATTAAAAATTGTGCCACTACAAACACGGGTTTGCATGTATCACTGCTATATGATGTCTAAAATCAAAATGACCAAAGACCTAAATACTAAAACAGAAGCAACCTGCTGGAAAATAAAATATGTAAAACTCTTGAAGACATAGGCATAGGCAAGGACTTTCTGAAGAGAATCCCAACAGCATTAGAAATAATACCAAGAATCAACAAACAGAATCAAATCAAATTAAAAAGCTTCTGCACATCAAAGGAAACAACGAGCAGAGTGAAGGGACAGCCTCCAGAGTGGGAAGAAATTTTGCCAGCCATTCCTCAGAGGACTAACACCTAGAATATACTTGATGATTTTTAAATATATCCACAAATTCTTCAATAATCCTCCCTTTAAGAAGCAGAACATTAGCTGGGCATGGTGTCACATGCCTGTACTCCCAGCACTCAGGAGGCTGAGGCAGGAGGATCGATGCAAGTTTGAGGCCAGCCTGGGCTACAAAATGTATTCAAGGCCACCTTGAACTACATAACAAAACCCTGTCTCAAAACACAAAAAAGAAGCGGGGTGGGGTGAGGAGGAGGAGGAAGGAAGGAAGCAGCAGCAGCAGCAACAGAACTTCATTCTCCTCCCCTTCAGCATAAGCTGCACCTGGCAACTGTCTTGGAACAAATATGGGAAGATACTGAGATCTCCACCTTGATAGCACTCTTCTTGGACCATCTGCTCCAGAAGAAACCAGCAACCGCAACATGAAGAGCAGCAGTCCCTGTGACAAGCACTGAGGACTCCACCAACAGTCTCACAAGGGAGCACCACTGAAGTTCTTACAGATGACAGCAGCCAAGCCAACTTCTAAGCACAGCCTCACGAGCCTATGAGCCTATGAGCCAGAACCACCCAGCCAGGCCACTCCCATAGCCCTGACTTTTCAGAAAATGAGTTCGTCTCAGCTGCTAGAATTTGCAATGATTTCCTACCCAGCAATAAATAACTAATAATGGTGGTTACCTAATTCATTCATGATTTTATTATTTTAAAATTACTAATTTGTGTGTGTGTGTGTTGTGTGTGGCTTAAGCACTGTCACTCGAAGAAAGGTTTGCCTAAAAAACATGATTGTAAGCTGGGCATGGTGGTGCACACCTGTAATCCCAGCATTCAGGAGGCTGAGGCAGGAGGATCGTTGCCAAGTTCAAGACCAGCCTGGGCTACAAAATGAGCTCAAGGCCAGCCTCATTTGCATAGCAAGACCCTGTCTCAAAAAGACTGGGAAAAAAAAATTGTATAGAATCAGAAACTGGTATCAACTCAATTATACAAAGACCCCTTTACAGCTATAATAACAAAATGTGGAACAATTTACTTAGCTGCAAACTAAATGTTGGTACGCAACCACCTAAACAGCAAAACACAAACAGTTAAATGAGGACTCAAAGACACACAGGAGGGAGATCCCTGCTTTTCAGTTTTAGCACCCCATCATGATCACACATGTATCTGTAGTATTCACAAAGAGCAGGCTGGATCTACTCACTTGCCACTGTTAGCCAGCTGCCTGAACTCCTTCACGGTCATGGCTTTTTTCTGGATGTTGTACTGAGTGAACAGCCCCGACTGCCCTGTGACCATCTGCTGGATTGGTGCTGGAATAAGCAAATTATCAATGTCATCATAGCACCGCCTTGGCTTCCATTCCTTAGGAGGGATCACCTAAAAAAAATAATAAAATACCACCTTGAAGACATTCCAAGTCGTTATTTAGCACTTATAGCCAACAGAACGCAACTAAAGAATTTCTCAGTCTCTCTATGAAGAATATATAAAAAATCTGCAATAAGGGAACAGCAAAGTTTCAGCACTCACTATACTCAGTACCGTACTTGTACTAACTGATTTTTAGTTGGTATTATTAACAGCTTCATTTAATGATAAAATTTAAAGACAAGAAATAATTTGCTGCAGCTTAAATAGCTAAAGACTAGTTGAACAGAAATTCAAACAGACACAATGACATCAGAACTCACACTGAGCCATTGTTACCCTGCCTTTCACTAGAAAAGCATATATGTATTTCTTCCTCTAAGAAGCTCATTTTAGTGAATTTTAGTTGAAATAACCCTTGCCATTTGCATTAATGAGATAAATAAGCAAATATTTGTTTAGCTGATACTACTTCTCTTTATAAGAAAACATGGCAAAACATTGCTCGTAACACAACATGGCAAATAGCATAGTGGAGTGCTAATCAAAGTTTGAAAACCAGTTTCTAAGAAGATGGGTGAAACTATGTAGCTCTGGCCCATTTCCACGACATACCTACTCCCACAATGGCCAGTTTGAACCTAGCAATCACTAAACATGCTGGAAAGAGATGTGTGCTATCAACTCTCCCACCTCAATATGGGGTGGCTCGGCACACCAGTTTTCCCACAGTAGAAAAGAGTAGTACTTAATTATTAACAGTGAACAGATTCTAAAATGTTATAGTCAAAAATACCCATCTGACTTACAATGAAAAAGGATGAAGGCTAGAAGTAAGTCATGATTTATGGCTTGAATGTTTCCAACTCAGAAGCTGTTTCGATTTTGTTAGGACAAATATTTAGAAAAAAGTTTCTTGAAAAATATAAAACTCGTACAGAAAATATAAGTGACAAATATATACTACATGAATTCTTAGAAAGAAAATACCAGAGTACCCAGTGCCCAGTATAAAAACAGAACACTGCTGGAACTCCAAAGCCTTCCAATACCCTTTTCCAACACGTCTCTCTTGCTCAGAGGCAACCACCATCATTGTGTTTAAGGTAATTATTTCCTTACTGGGCTTTCGTTTTGTGTGTGGGTATGTATCCCTATATAAGTTTTTTAAATATACAACCATGCAATCATATAGTACATATTCTTTGAGGTTTGTCTTTATTTCCCTCAGTATTTCATGAGATTTAAATGCAATGAAGTTCATGGATTTTCTTTCCTATTTAGTATTCCTCATATAAATATTAATCTTTTCATAGGTTGGGGACCTTTATTCACCAACTTTGGTTTACTGGTTGTTGCAAATAATGCTACTGATATTCCAGTACACACCTTCTGGTGGGCACGTACAGAGGGTTCTCTAAAATTACAACAATGCACTGACAACACTAACAGTGAAATTACTGGGGCAAAACATGTATATAATTCAAATTTAATAGTACAAACTTTTGCCAAAGGGGCTGTAACAACTCACACACTAGAGTACAAGTTCCTACACATCTGCAGCATCACTTTATACTATCATTTTAATTTTAGCCTTTCTGGTAAGTGTGTGATTGTACCTAAGTATGGATTTCACTTGCATGTACCTAAAAAAATCTGTTCGTATGTTTACTGACTCTACTGACATCCTCTTTGTGAGGTAATTACCCAAGTCTCTTGAACAATTTACTACTGCATTATTGTTGTTTTTTTTCTTATTAATGATAGGGGTCTTTTATATATTCTGAATATTCTTGGATTTACATATATATAAACATATGGAGAGCACATGGGAGTGTATAATTATTTTCTCCTATCCTGTCACCTGCCCTACAGCCTTTTTTTTGTTTAAAAGAGAAAAAATCTATGTTGTAATACAACATGCACTCATAAAACATCCACAGAAGGTATGTAATTCTTTAACACTATATAAATTTATTGGGAATAAAGTTATCATCCAGTTGTGATTGTGCCTCCTAAAATACACTGTAAACACAGTTATGCTCTATAACAAATATGTCACTGATTTTCAACAATCATTGCTGTAATCACTAAAAACTACATAATCACATCAATATTCTGAAATGTCCACTTACATTCATATAGTAGCATACAAATGTACAGACAGAAAAAATATTTACTCCTAGATTATTTTGTATCTTCCTGACAGGTAACATTCTTCCTGACTGAAAATGACAGCTGCAGTTCTGGTCTGTAAAACAGATCCAAGATCCTGAATCTGTGCATATGTGCTGAAAATGCCAAAATAACTTATAGTCAACCTATCAGAATAGCAGACTTTTCCACACAACCCTAAAGGATACAAGAGCTTGGAGTGAAGGTTTTCAAGCCACAAAAGACAATAACTGGCAACCCAGATTACTGTATCCTACAAAATTATTCTTCAAAATTGATGAGCGAAATAAAGACCTTCCACAACAAATAGAAACAAGAAACTCATGACAACCAAGTCAGCATTGCAGAAAATACTCAAGGGAATCCTAGACAGAAACAACATCAGTGCCATCAAGGAGCCCAAAGGAAAGATAATATCTAACAGCAAGAGTAGTTAAACGGAAATCAAGCACTGGAAAAAATATCCAATAACAGAAACTGGTAATTATCTTTCAATAATAATATTCAATGTAAATGGTATTAACTCTCTAATCAAAAGACACAGACTGGCAGATTGGATCAGAAACACAACACAACCATATGTGGCCTTCAAGAGACTAAATGCATCCACAAAGAAACACATGGAGAGAAAACAAAAGGATAAAAAATAATATTCCACACATCTGGACCCCAAAGGCAGATAGAAGTAGCTATTCTAATCTCTGACCAAGTTAACATCAAACCAAAACTGGTCAGAAGAGACAAAAAAGGTCACTACACATTGGTAAAGGAAATAATTCACCAAGGAGATCTAACAATTTTGTTTTGATTTTTGTTTTGTTTTGTTTTGTTTTTTGAGAAAGGGTCTCACTATGTAGAGCAGGCTGGCCTTGAGCTCATAGCGATCCTCCTACTTCGGCCTCCCTCCTACTTCAGCCTCCCAATGCTGGGATTACAGGCATGCACCACCACGCCCAGCTAAGAGATAACAATTATAAATACACATGCATCAAATGTTGGTGCACCCAATTTCATGAAACAGAAATGACTTGACATAAAAGAACAGAAACTGACAAAATGGGGAGGGGAGGTTAATAACCCTTTCTAACAATGAGGTCAATCAGACCCCAAAACATTAAAAATGAAAGAAATACCAGAGTTAAATCACATGACAGAACAAATGGATTTAACTAAAAGCTACAGAATATTTTATTTAACAACACGACAACCAATATTCTCTGTAGCCCATCAAACTTTCTCCAAAATAGACTGTATTTTAGGCCATACTTTTAAATACAAAAGAATTGAAATGTCTTATATCCTCTCAGATATAATGGAATAAGACTAGAAATTAAGAGCAAAAGAAATCGGACTCTACATAAACACATGAAGATTAAAAATGGAATACATTCTTAAAGTATAAAGGGGTCACAGAAGGTGTAGGGAAAGAACTGTTTAAATTCCTGTGATTAAATGACAATGGCAATGCCACATACCAGGTCCTGTGAGACACAATGCAAGCAGGTCCAAGAGGGAAGCTTACTGCAGTAAGCGCCCACATTAGAAAACAGAACGAGCCCAGCTGAGTAACATGATGATGCATCTCAAGTTGCAAGAAAAATGAGACCACTCCGAATCCAAAATGTGTAGAAGGAATGACATTCTAAAGATCAGAGATGAAATTGAGGCTAAAAAAAACCGCAACTAATGACTATCAAAGAGTTGGTTCTTTTAGGAGCATATGCTGCCAGGTGTGCACACCTCAGGATCCACACCAGAAATGGCGAACCTTTCAAAGGCCAAACTGCAACCCAAAACCCACTCATTTATTGCGAAGTGCCAACACTGCAATTAAAACCTGGACACTGCAGTTTTAGTTTAGAAAAAAACAACTCACACATTAACATCTTCTGTCTCAGAAGAAAAAGACAATAATGCTCATGCCAGTTTGCCACCACTGATCCATACCACAGAGCCACTGGCAAAGAAGATCTTTAAGAGAATTTTCGTAGCTAAGCTGTGGACACATGTTTTGTTTAATAACACGAACACAAGCCAAGACTTCAGACAAATAATAAGAAATCTCCCTTCCTCTTGAAAGTTTATTATAAATTCACTGAATAATCTGGCATTTATGGATCAAGGAAACAAGATCAAGAAAAATGGCTGAATATCAAGAAGTAGAAATTTGATCACTGACCAGAAACTGTCCTTCAGAGAAATACCATAGTGTCAGACTGAAATTCTAACAACACGGATGGACTGTGGAATATTTAAGGCAAAATGTAAATTTAATTCAGAGGTCTTGTTGAACAATGAAAAAGTTGACTAAATGTATGTTTATCATATTATGAAAGAAATTTTGGGGGCTGGGGATTAAGCTCAGTGGCAAAAGCACCTGCCTGGCATGTGCAAGGTCGTGAGTTCGGTTCCCGGTACCAGAGAAAAGCAAAAAAAAAAAAAAAGAAAGAAATTTTGTTTATACTGTACAAAATACTGTAAAGAGATTCTCCTTCAAAACTCAAAAAAAGTTGGTTCTTTGAAAAGATAAACAAGTACACTAAATCTCTAACTAAACTTACCAAAAAGAAGACTCACATCAGTGCAATTGGAAATGAAAAAGGTAAAATTAGAAGGTGCTGAAATTCAAAGGACTATTGTAAAAGAAAAAAAAAAAAAAAACCATTTTAAAAATTTATATTCCAAAAAATTGGAGAATCTGAAAGGCATAAATTCCTAGACACATATGACTTACAGAATTTGACACCATACATAAAAACCTTGACTAGAGCTATAACTGAGACAATAAAACTCTACCATCTAAGCCGGGCATGGTGGTGCACGCCTGTAATCCC